AGAGAGAGAGAGAGAGAGAGAGAGAGAGAGGATGCCATGTTACAAAGATTAAAGGGACAGTGTTATAGAGAGTGTAGGAGAGGAAAAAGAAGAAGAAAAAAGAGCGCGAGGGCGTTATAGAGATGAGAACAGACAGGCTGACAGACTGACAGGCAGACAGACAGACAGACAGACAGACAGACAGACAGACAGACAGACAGACAGACAGACACAAAGAGACCGCAGGGAGGGGTATAGGTTATGAAATCAACATACAACATTTTCATTATATTCATCCCTTAATAATCTTTCTGTTGTTTTTATTTTTCTTGTCTTTTTTCTCTCCATCTGTAGATTGAAGACGACAACAAAAAGCTGCAGGAGGAGATAAAACGTTTGAAGAAAGCACTGGAGGAGGCGAAGGAGAGGAACAGAGAGGTGAGTCATTGCTGGATTATTTCTGTGGTAGTAAGTGGTAAATTGTTGGTGTTTGGTGCAGTGCAGAGAGAGGGGGGAGAGAGAGAGGGGGAAGAGAGAGAGAGAGGGGGGGAGAAGGGGGAGAGGGAAAGAAGAAAGAGAGAGAGGGAAAGAAGAAAGAGAGAGAGAGAGAGAGAGAGAGAGAGAGAGAGAGAGAGAGAGAGAGAGAGAGAGAGGAGAGAAAGGGATGAGAGGAGATGGAGAAAGTTGAGGGGGGGGGTTAAGAATTGTCAGGAGGAGGAGGGAGAATGCATTTTTTTAGATTGTGGTATCAATTAATAAATAACTGCAGTTATTACCATTTTTTCATGGGTGGTTGGCGGGTGCTGCAGTGTGGTTTACTCCTTGTGTCCCATCAAACACTTGTCTGTTAGTTACTCTTTAGTAGTAACACCTCAAATCTTTGGCACTTATTTGTTTGCAAGTTCTATAAAATATTTACTTTACTTTTGTACGCCGCTTATACCTTTTTGGGCGTCGTGGAATAAAATATTTACAAAAACTAAAACTAAACTCACCTTTTTTCTCAACTGTCATGGAACTCAGATAATTTTTCAATGAACCGAGTGTATGTTTCAATTAAGGAGTTTTCTCAAACTATTCTTTCTTCGCTGATTGTATTTCAATTAACGAATCGTCTCAAACGTGTCGCTGGGTCACCAGGGAGGTATCCCGGTGCGCATCGTGTACCGGCCGGACTCTGAGAACAGCGCAGACCGGGCCTCGTCGCTCAACTCGGAGGAGAAACTGTTGTTTGACGAGCTGCAACGAGAGTTGCTGGACCTGAAGCGAAACATGCGGCAACACGAGGAGGATCTGTCCAAGAGGGTCAGTGGCTGCCTGTTGTGTGTCTGTGGTGGTCAGTGGCTGCCTGTTGTGTGTCTGTGGTGGTCAGTGGCTGCCTGTTGTGTGTCTGTGGTGGTCAGTGGCTGCCTGTTGTGTGTCTGTGGTGGTCAGTGGCTGCCTGTTGTATGTCTGTGGTGGTCAGTGGCTGCCTGTTGTGTGTCTGTAGTGGTCAGTGGCTGCCTGTTGTGTGTCTGTGGTGGTCAGTGGCTGCCTGTTGTGTGTCTGTGGTGGTCAGTGGCTGCTGGTTGTGTGTCTGGAGATTAGTGGCTGCCTGTTGTGTGTCTGTAGTGGTCAGTGGCTGCCTGTTGTGTGTTTGCGGTGGTTGGCGGGTGCTGTCTGTGTGTGCGCGCGTGCTTGGTGTTTGTGCGAGGTTGTCATGTGTGTTGTCTTGTGTGTGTGTCGGTGTTCATGTCTTTTGTGTGTCAGTGTTCATGTCTTTTGTGTGTCAGTGTTCATATCTTTTGTGTGTCAGTGTTCATGTGTGTGTTGTCTTGTGTGTGTCAGTGTTCATGTCTTTTGTGTGTCGGTGTTCATGTCTTTTGTGTGTCTATGGTGGTCATGTGTGTGTTGTCTTTTGTACGTGTCAGTGGTGAGGGATTTTTTTGCTCTTAATATGTGTCAGTTGTGATGTTTGTTTTTTTTTCTTTTGTGTCAGTGTCAGTGGTGATGTTTTTTTGTCTTTTGTGATGTGTTTTCTCTCTTGTGTCCATAATGTTATCTCTTTCGTGTCACTGCTGACCTTTCTTTATGGCGTGGTTTTTAATTAATTAAATTTTGACTCACCATGGTATCCTCTGCCAGCTGTTGAGATGTACTCGCCTCCAACATCAAGTGTCTGCTCTGCTCAGATGTACTAAACCCTAATTATTATTTTTCAAAATTTTTGTTGCATTTTCATGTATTATACACACATACACACTCTCTCTCACACACACACACACACACACACACACACACACACACACACACACACACACGAACACACACACGAACACACACACATACGGCAAGAAAACGCATGTGTAGACACACAATCTAATGTCTCACTAATGCTTCACATAACAAACAAACAAACACACACAAATAACAAACGCATGTATAGACACACAATCTAATGTCTCACTAATGCTTCACCAGTTGCTGGATGCCGAGGCAGAGACCGCCCAGTTCAAAGAGGAAATGAGGCAGAAGGAGAAGGAGTACGAGGCTGAGATGGAGGAACACAGGCAGGCTGCAGAACTCATGAGGGTAATGCTCCCGATGATTACACATCAGCTACACACTTGCTACACACTTGCTACACACCTGCTACACATTTGCTACACACTGGCTACACACCTGCTACACACTTGCTACACACTGGCGACACACTTGCTACACACTTCCTGTACACTTGCTACACACCTGCCACATATTTACTACACATCTCTACACACTTACTACACACTTCCTGAACACTTGATATACATCTGCTACACACCTGCCACATATTTGCTATACATCTGCTACACTCTTGCTACACACTTCCTGTACACACTTGCTACACACTGACACAGTCACAGCCACACCACCACTGTACTCATATACAAATACACTCACATACTCATATTATATGCACAAACTCAAATGTACATTTGTACTGGTGCACATATTATTGGCGTATGGCCCAAATAAACATTCTGATTCTTTTATCATTTTAAATAAAAAGATAAATGGAAAAAAAGAAAAATTGTTTGTTTTTTTTACATAAGAAATGTATTAGATATATATGTGATTATTTATAATGTTTTGTTTTTGATTGAAAATCTTGTTCTAGTAAATGTGAGGCGTGCTGACAAAATGAGTTACTTCTCGCGATCCAAGAATGGAGACATTAGGCCGAAAATCAACTTTGGGGTCAGATTTATAGATTTGATGCCGTTTTGTTCAAGTCTACCGTGTCTTTTATTATTCCATACTTACAAATTGTACAAACACCATCTATAATGATGATGTATCAATTTCCATACGCCTAAAATCCCAAAGAAGTAACTCTTTTTGTCAGCACACCTCACAAACGTTTTCACCATATTGGGTTTTTTTGTGGGTGGTGGAAGATGTAGGTCTTTGTTTTTCTCTTTTAATTTTGACGGAAAGTCTTGTTCTGACCTTCTGAAAGGTTGCACCGTACGTATTGCTTATGGGGTTGTTGTTTGTTTGTTTGTTTGTTTGTTCTGTTTTTGGTTCTCTTTTCATCTTGAATGAAAATATTGCTGTAACCTGGCAAATGGTTGACCTTTGGCCTTTGTGTGACCCCCAGGAGAAACAGGAAGCTCGCATCCAGGTGATCGCTCAAGACCTGGACCAGGCTCAGTTTGTGGCCGACTCGCTGCAACAGATGTTGGAGGAGAGGGAGAAGTGTCTCAACGCTGAGCTCAGCAACGCCGATATGTCCAACCAGATGATCTGTGAGTGGTTGTGTGTGTGTGTATATGTGTGTGTGTGTGTGTGTGTGTGTGTGTGTGAGTGTGTGTGTGTGTGTGTGAGTGTGTGTGTGTTTGTGTGTGTGTGGATGTGGGTGTCTGTGTGTGTGTGTGTGTGTGTGTGTTTGTGTGCATGTGTTTCTTTCACTTTTGTTCATACTTGATATCCATCCCTCCACACACACTCTCTCTCTTTCTCTCTCTTTCTCGCGTCTCTCTCTCTCTCTCTCTCTTTCTCGCATCTCTCTCTCTCTCTCAAATACAACTTATTATTTGAGAAACTTTCTTTACCTCTCTAACTCTCTCTCACTCCCTCCCTCCCTCCCTCCCTCACCTCCCTTCCTCCCTCGACTCTCCATCCCCCCTCCCTCACCTCACTCACCTCCCTCCCCTCTCTAACTCCCTCCCTCCCTCCCTCACCTCTCTAACTCCCTCACCTCTCTAACTCCCTCCCTCCCTCCCCCAGCGGCCCAGGAAGATGAACTAGCCCGCCTCTACGACATCCTGGAGACCCAGCGTGACGAGATCGAGAACCTGAACCAGATCCTGGACCACCTGGCACAGCAAGGGCCGGATGGAGGTCAGTACATGCGTTATTATAATTATGATTATGATTATGATGATGATTATTATTATTGTTACTAGCAATACTATGATCATGGTAGACTTTCCAATCCTCACAATCTCCATGTAACAATCATCACAATTCTTTCATCTTAATCCCCCTGTTACGTTCCAATCCTGACAATTCCCCTGTAACGTTCCAATCCTGACTATCCCCCTGTGACCGTTGGCGGGTACTCTGGTGTGGTTTGCTCCTTCTTTCCTATCAAACATCTATCACCCCTGGGGCAGTGATACTGACTGAAGTGTCTTTAGGCCTTTCCCAAAGGAGGGGG